GTGGCCATGGGCTGCTGAGACCCACTGAGGTGGAGGAGCAGCCACTCCCTCTTGGTTGCCCATCGCCGGGCTATAGTCAAGTCTACAGATGAGCAGGCTTTTCCGCTGAGTGAAGCCATTTGGTTCTCCGTGTCACAAAGCCAGAGGATCCAGCCTGGACTGCAGCATGTGCCCAGAGTAAGTGACCGAAATGATCCCTCACGGGCTTGGAATCCGAGTCCAGTCTGCTAGTCCCGTACCTGCATCTTGGCCCCTGAGTCACCTCCACAGGACGCCTCTCAGACGTGCAGGGGCTGCTGTTTTCCTAAAGCCTCCTAACAGCCTGAACTCCCTGCTGTAGCTGCCTCCTGCTCGGCTGGCGCTGCCTTTCTCCCTGCTCATGTTGCAGTGAGTACTGGGCCCTTCTCTCCCCCTGGCCTCCTGCCCCGGGCTGAACCTCCCCGGCACGAGGGCAGAGCGGATCTGAGCCGAGCACCAAGAACCCCCATCCCTTTCCAGCCTTGTTCTCCTTGTGCCTCCAGAGATCCCCCGGGATCCAGTGACCAGTTCGCCTCCTTCCGCTTCAGAGTCTAGTGCATGGGGCCTTGCGGGGCCGCTTGCGTGCAGCTGGCCATCAAAGCTGGAGCCAGTGCTGTGCCCAACACACGCTCTCCCTTTCATTCGCAGATGGAGGCGATAGGAGCAGTGAAGAGGAGCCTGCTGGTTCTAGCTGGCCCTGGCAGCGCGGTCAGGCCTGGACTACGCAGTTCTGCCTCTTCCCTGCCGCCCTAGCTTTCCCCGGCGAGCTGCTGAGAAGGGAGAATGTCATTCTGACGGAAGGCGAGCCCACGAACGTGCCACTAGATCTGGATGACTTTGTCTGCAGCCTTGCGCACGCTTGGACCTCCGCTAGCTCCCGTTCAGCCTGGTTTCTAGTGACACGACAGCGGCGGGGAGCATGCTGGGGGAGGGCGTCTGGTCATGCTTTTTGATTCCCCTGCAAATGGAGCCCACAGGAGCCAAAGCTGAGCGGGGGCAGAAAAGTCTCCTCTCCTGACCTCTGGGGAGAGAGAACGGGGGAAACTGTCACCCTGGTGCCTCGCAAAATGCTGCTCGCCTGTTTCGCCAGAGGCAGGGGGCTGTGTAACAACCCTCGGCCGCCTTCACTAGTGGCAGGTGGGGAGCGAGGGGCTTTGTGCCCATGCTGGAGAACTTTCCCCGACGTGTTGCTCACACTGGTGCCAATAGCCCAGTTCGCCGTACTCTAAGGAACCAACCTCTGGCTGGCTCTTGGTTCTGACCCAGGAGGCTGTGTCGAGTTTCCAGATCTCGGTGGGTCTCTGAATTGCGGAACAGTGGGCGAGTGTGTCCGTGACCTGTCCTTGTTCCAGGCCGATCGCCTGGCTGGGAAGGACGGTGCATGAGGCTGCTCTTACATCCTGTGTGGAGTTGGCTCTTGGGCTGCTCCTGAGACTTGGGAAGCGATGGAGGAAACTCCCCTTGAGTTCCATGGTGCAGAGTTGGCCCCTCCCGAGTGGATCTGTCAGCTGGTGTCCGGGGAGCTGTCCCTTGTCCTGTTCCAATCCCAGTGTGTTAACATTGGTACCGTGGCTTCTGACCCACGTGGGGGAGTTAAGTTAACCCAGCCCAGCAGTCTGGCCGGGAGGCAGCTCAACCTGGCTTTCACTTTCACCCCCAGTGAAGTTTAAGAAGAGCACTGATCCAAATCTGATTGATAAGGAATGGATAGAATAATGTGGAGTTCTCTGTCACCGTTGCAGAACGTTTACATTAAAGACAAAGGCATTCTCTCTCTCTCTCTGGGGCTGCTGTGTTGTGGTTTGTGGTGGATGTTCAGAAAAAAAAAAATTTTTTTTTTTTCATTCTCGATGGTCGATCTGAGAGTTGTTCATTGATCCTGGTTTTGGGGTTGCGGTACAAACAACCTGGTGTAAAGAACGCCAACCCCAGGCTGGGAAAGGGAGAGAGAGATGGCCCAGTGATGAGCCAAAGACTTGGGAGACGTAAGTTAAGTCCTGGCTCTGCCACAGACTTTCCTTCTGGGCCCGTCATTTAGTCTCGCTCCTTGGGGACAATAGTACGGAGTGTTGTGAGGATAAATAACGGTAACGTTTGTGCCGAGAGCTGGGCACGCACTGGGCTGCTTGGTTCTCGGGCAATTTGGAGGAGGGGGGCAAGTTGTGTTAAACTGAAAACAAAAAGTAAAACACACCTTTCAGGGGTTGGATCCTGAACTAGATTATCAATAGTGCCGAGTGAGGGCCTGCACTGTGCAGTGTACTGTAGGACATCAGAGATAACCTCACTGTCTGAAGAGACCAGGCGAGTAAAGGGTGGGACATCACATTGCTGTTAAAAGTAACCAGCAACCTGCCTTATTGTGGTTGTGAATCTGATTTGAAGTGCTTTCTAGCAAGGGGCAAGATTTTTAGAAAGTGTAAGGCCACAAAAAGTAATTCATGAAATCCTCTGGACTTAGCTGTTCATGTGCATAAGAATTGGAGGTCCTTTGGGAAGAGGTGCTATGTAAATAATTGTTTAAAATTGGAGGCGATGTATTCGTATTATGTATTTACTCTAGAGAACTTTTCCTGGGTGTCTGGCTGGTGAGTCTTGCCCAAATGCTCAGGGTTCAGCTGATCGCCATATTTGGGGTCGGGAAGGAATTTTCCTCCAGGGTAGATTGGCAGAGGTCCTGGAGGTTTTTCGCCTTCCTCTGTAGCATGGGGCACAGATCACAGCTGGAGGATTCTCTGCATCTTGGGGTCTTTAAACCATTTGAGGACTTCAGTATCAGAGAGATTCCGGGAGTGGGTGGGTGAGATTCTGTGGCCTGCGTTGTGCGGGGGGTCGGACTAGATGATCATAATGGTCCCTTCTGACCTTAAAGTCTATGAGTATCACTTAGGAGCCTGCTTTTTGTGGACCCAGATTTCATTGTGGCCCTGTAGAAGGCATCCCGAAAGACGGTCCCTCCTGTAAAGAGAGTCTGATTGGGGTTGTCGTTCTTCAGTCCCGGAACCTCATCAGCTCCTGAGGTTGCTCCTTTCATTCCTCCAGGTGTGACCTTGGCATGGACGGACGGTAATGTAGACGAGGGAAAGGCATAGCCTTCCCAAAACTGCCTGCGCACCCGACTGCTGAGGACTGGAGCTGTGGCATGGCAGCCCAGGTTCCCCGGCTGCTGGGGAGGGTCAGGCCAGAACTGAAGCACAGCAGCCCCAGCCCTCCATATGACCAGGGAGAATGGGGCTAGGGATGAGCGGGGCTTGGTTCCAGGGATAGGCCTCAGGTGGAAGGGGCGGGGCTGGGGCTTGCCTTCCCCTGCTGGACTTTCACCCACCACCCGTGGATCTTGGTGTATCTTGTCTGCCATGATAACGCTGGGAATGTTGGACCTGCTCAGCCGTGGGTCACAGATACCAGAGAGCAGGGTAAAGTTTGTGTCAGCCAACGGTCAGGGGTGTGTGTTTGTGTGTTTTGTTTGTTTGTTTTTCTGAGAAAAGGTTTAACGCCCGTGTCTTTACTGCTAGGACCGGGGTCCCATCGCAGAGGGTAGCCAGCAGGCCAACAGATGCCCCTTTATAGGAAGAGCTTATTACACCTCAGATTTTAGCTGCTAGAATGCAAGATTCCTTCGCAGTGGGCAGCCTTAGGGAGACTGAGAGGTGCCCCAATGGATCTGCCACCTGGGACTGACACAAATCCAAACGCCCAAGCTCTTCCTATGCCTGTCCTTTTTGACCAGCTGAAGTTCTTTTAAATTGTGCTTGGTTCTGTTATAGCAACTGAAGGAGTCAGGTTAAAGCTTAAACAGTTACAGGTTTATTAAAAAGACTTATAAAAGCATATGGTTACAATGGCTATTGCTCTATTTCTTAACTGCTAGCAAATATATATATATAGGTCTTAAAAATGATTACAGGAAAAAGGTAAAGATAGAAAATAGAAATAATGGTACCAAGTGACAGCTTAATCTTTAAAGAGCTCTAAGTCTATGTGTACACTTAAGACAAAGGAC